GAGCACCCATCTCGTTTCGACATCTACACCGATACACTCATCGCTTTGGCTGCGTCTGTCTATTCTGTCCATATAGGAGATGGAACAGAACACAATTGTGGAGTAGACCAGTGCCAACGTTGAATGGTTTTGACTTAACGCCATTTACTCTGACCCTGTACCTGCTATAAGCATATAATAATGGGATGGCCCGTAGCAACTGGCCGTCGATCCGATATGTTCGCAGGCGTGCTCACAGACTGTTGCGCGGGATCCGCTCAGAGGATTTCCGTTAGTCAACAAAACACATACATCGGACGGGCGTACTCCCGCGATTTCTCAATAATCTGGCGCAAGGCAACTATATGGTCAGAGGTGCTTCGACCGGGCCGGAAGCCGCACGGCTCTTCGTGAATCTTGGAGTTGACTATTCCGCGGCATCTCATTTCTAACACATTTATCTGGACTTTTCCCGGCAGGCTCAATAAGGTAATAGGTAATAGGGCCCCTGTGGTCTCCCTTCTTGAACAGGGGTACAACAGCCCCGTTCTCCGGTCCCCTGGTATCTTTCCCGTAGCCTTTGCAGCTTGCAAACACGTGTAAGTCAGCACATGCCTTGTTCGCGTAATGCTTTGAACATTTCAGGGAGGATTTCATTAATTCTAGTCGCCTTTCCATTTTTCAAGCTTTTCACAGCCTGTGTAATATCATCTACAGAGATAGTAATATCCGTTCCCTTCTGCGCTGCAGGTCAGTCTTCTTGAAGTTGATCAGGTTCAAGAAGTTCTTAATTGTATTCTCTCTATCGCTGAGGAATATGCTCTTCCTCAGCAGGAGTGTCCAAACTCTCCCTGAAGTGTCTTAGACTGCCATGATTTCACCTCGGAGCCGGAGGACGGTCTGCCTGAATACTTTGCTTGACGTGTGGAAATTCGACTTCAACATCTCGCCGGACTTTTCCTGTTAATCAGCCTTGGATTTTGCCACTGCTTTCGCTGCTGCCTTGCGCGCTTCTACATACCGTATGCGAGTATACGGCTCTTTGCTTCCAAATCATTTCTTGAATGCAGCCTTCTTCGTGAAAGTTGATAATGAGGGCAAAATATGGAGCGATGAGAAAAGAACAACAACTCAAATATTAAAAGTGTAAAGGAAATCGGTAGTTGTCGCAGATGTGGACCTAATCTTCTGTTATGTTTCCGCATTCATGCGGACAGTTTCAACGGCTTTCGGCTTCATGGTATGTTTTTATCAACATCTGCAAGGCATGAAGTTAAAACAGCGTCACTTTGATCGGTCAGCATATACGAATACCAACGGTTGCACGTCGATCCCTTTTAGGCGTGTATAATAGACCCCGGAGAATTGACAGGAGATTGTTAGTCTTACTTCGGGTATCGGGGGCTAGCAGTTTTCTATTAGATTCATAATTCCGTTTTTTTTATTTTTATTATATGCCGCTGCAGATCTTATTAGATGCGTTAGTATTCGATCACGACAAGAAATTGGTATCGTTTACTACACGAGCGTAAATGCCGTAGAACCATGGTAAACTTGAACGGTCCTCTGTGCTACTGGAATCAAGGAAGCCGCGCGACTACGCTTTGTAAACCCGGACAGTAACAGCAGACTGTAAAGGAGATTAAAAGAAAGAACTGATGTTATGTACGATCAGTGTCACTTTACTAACTTTATGAGAGCCTGTTATTTGATGGCATAAAGTTAGAAAGTTTGGCAGGTGATTTATCGGCGTTGCTCTTGCTGCCGCAAGCGTATATATTGCTTAATTTATCGCCGTGGTAACAAAAACGTGTATGTTGTTCGAGTCAACGCTGTTAAGTTGCTGTCCAAGTATCCTTGATGGTTTGTCTCTGCTGAGGTGTTCCCCCTTCCCTGTAAGACTTGCG